GGCGATGGCATAAGCCCGCTTATATAGCTTTTAAGCAAAAGAGCGGGCTAAAAAGACACATCGAGATCGAAGATGAGCATTCTAGCTCAAAAATTGACTTTCAAAAAAATCAAAAATCCACAGGAGGCAAAATGTATTTTTTACCGAATATTATGTTATGGGTTCCTAAGGGGTAACTCGTGAAAGTAGAACCCTTTGGGCGAAAATTTCGTACGTTTTGCTATATCTCGTAAAGTTTGGGTGCTGGGAGGCATTTCTTGGCAAAAATAAGGTGAAAACGACTATAAATGGTCTATCAAGTCGTATGACCCCAAACCATTTCAATGTTTTTTCTCAAATATTTCACGGTCTCTGAAGGGTCAACTTGTCAAAATAAAACCCTGGGGAGCGTTTGGCTCTATCTTCAACCATGTAGGCGTCACAGGGAGTTTTTGACGAAACTGAGCGAAAAAATGTACACCCCTGCATGCTTAGTAGAAGAGACGGAAAGTTGGCGGGCCGGAGGCCCTTTGTTTACATTTTTGCGCTACCCGACTCGGGTGTCAGCGCCGCAGGCCTAGGTAGATGTATGCCAGGCGCGTCGCAGCGCAACAGTGTTTCGTGAGATACCGCGAAGCCTGTTACGCGAGACGTGCTCTGGCGTACATCTACCTAGTAAATTTACAAATGGGTTTCAAATAGTTAGTGTTATCATTCTGTTTTCATTGTTTTGTTTACGGAGATGGGTATTGAATTTGAGGGCGTGAATCCCTCAGAAAGGTGTTGCACGACCAGGGATTTTATTATGACAGACGGAATGCTACAGCTTTTTTGAAGGAAATGCCCAGGGTTGCAGGGCTGCGCTTTAAATTTCTCAAATTCTTCCACCAGTTTTACAATGATGAGAAATTTTCGCGAAAATACCTGGATAAGACGTGGATTTTCCAGCATGGATCTGGCGTCCCATACCAGTGGGCGAATGGTTACTGGCGGTGCCAGAGGTCAAAAAAAAGGTTGGAGGAACCAGGTACATTGTGGTGCATTGTGGTGGGGAACATAGATTCGTTCCAGGTGCCCTCTTGGTTTATCACTCCAAGCTGAAGCCAAAGCCTGGCAGTGATTATCGTGGAGACATGAACAGCTCCATTTTCTCTACCTACTATCGTAAGAAAGTGATCCAAAATGTCCAGGAACAATCTGTGTTCTTCATGGATAATGCATCCTACCGCAAGTTTCAGGTGATTATTGTCATTAATACTCTTTTTAGGGAGGTGTGCTCATCAAAACATTGTATTTGCAGATCTCCTCTCAAAGAATGTTCTATGTTGCCATGGGAAAAAGCTATTTTTAGAGATATGACCTAAAGAGACCTTTTGTGACTGGAGTATGTATGGGTGAACTAATCAGGTGTAGTAAGTTGTAGTGGTGAGATGTATTGCTT